ACAGCTTCTCGCCACGCCACTTGGTAGGAGCGACCGGTCAGGTAGGACACGATCCAGGAGTGAGCCGCGCCGGAGATGCCCAGCTCGGAGAGGGTGGAGAGGAGGATCTGATGGTTCACAGTATCAAAGGCAGCAGACAGGTCTAGAAGGACAAGAGCAGAGGAGAGAGAGTTAGCTTTAGCAGTGCGGAGAGCCTCCGTGACACAGAGAAGAGCAGTCTCAGTTGAATGACCAGTCCTGAAACCTGACTGGTTTGGATCAAGAAGGTCATTCTGAGAGAGATAGCAAGAGAGTTGGCTAAAGACGGCACGCTCAATAGTTTTGGAAAGAAAAGAAAGAAGGGATACTGGTCTGTAGTTGTTGACATCAGTGGGATCGAGTGTTGGTTTTTTGAGAAGGGGTGCAACTCTCGCTCTCTTGAAGACGGAAGGGACATAGCCAGCGGTCAAGGATGAGTTGATCAGCGAGGTGAGGTAGGGGAGAAGGTCACCGGAGATGGTCTGGAGAAGAGAGGAGGGGATGGGGTCAAGCGGGCAGGTTGTTGGGCGGCCTGCAGTCACAAGTCGCAAGATTTTATCTGGAGAGAGAGGGGAGAAAGAAGTCAAAGCATAGGGTAGGGCAGTGTGAGCAGGACCAGCAGTGTCATTAGACTTAACAAACGAGGATCGGATGTCGTCAACCTTCTTTTCAAAGTGGTTGACGAAGTCATCCACAGAGAGAGAGGAGTGGGGGGGGATTCAGCAGGGAGGAGAATGTGGCAAAGAGCTTCCTAGGGTTAGAGGCAGATGCTTGGAATTTAGAGTGGTAGAAAGTGGCCTTAGCAGCAGAAACAGATGAAGAAAATGTAGAGAGGAGGGAGTGAAAAGATGCCAGGTCGGCAGGGAGTTTAGTTTTCTTCCATTTCCGCTCCGCTGCCCGGAGCTCTGTTCTGTGAGCTCGCAATGAGTCATCAAGCCACGGAGCTGGAGGGGAGGACCGAGCCGGCCGGGAGGATAGGGGACACAGAGAGTCAAAGGATGCAGAAAGGGAGGAGAGGAGTGTTGAGGAGGCAGAATCAGGAGATTGGAGGGAGAAGGATTGAGCAGAGGGAAGAGATGATAGGATGGAAGAGGAGAGAGTAGTGGGAGAGAGAGAGCGAAGGTTGCGGCGGCGCATTACCATCTGTGTAGGGGCAGAGTGAGTAGTGTTGGAGGAGAGCGAGAGAGAAAAGGATACAAAGTAGTGGTCGGAGACATGGAGGGGAGTTGCAGTGAGATTAGTAGAAGAGCAGCATCTAGTAAAGATGAGGTCAAGCGTATTGCCTGCCTTGTGAGTAGGGGGGGACGGTGAGAGGGTGAGGTCAAAAGAGGAGAGGAGTGGAAAGAAGGAGGCAGAGAGAAATGAGTCAAATGTAGACGTAGGGAGGTTGAAATCCCCCAAAACTGTGAGGGGTGAGCCATCCTCAGGAAAGGAACTTATCAAGGCGTCAAGCTCATTGATGAACTCTCCAAGGGAACCTGGAGGGCGATAGATGACAAGGATATTAAGCTTAAATGGGCTAGTGACTGTGACAGCATGGAATTCAAATGAGGAGATAGACAGATGGGTTAGGGGAAAAATTGAGAATGTCCACTTGGGAGAGATGAGGATTCCTGTGCCACCACCCCTCTGACCAGATGCTCTCGGGGTATGCGAGAACACATGGTCAGACGAGGAGAGAGCAGTAGGAGTAGCAGTGTTTTCAGTGGTAATCCATGTTTCCGTCAGCGCCAGGAAGTCGAGGGACTGGAGGGTAGCATAGGCTGGGATGAAGTCAGCCTTGTTGGCAGCAGAACGGCAGTTCCAGAGGCTGCCTGAGACCTGGAACTCCAGGTGTGGGGTGCGTGCAGGGACCACCAGGTTAGAGAGGCAGCAGCCACGCGGTGTGAGGCGTTTGTGTAGCCTGTGCGGAGAGGAGAGAACAGGGATAGGCAGAGGCATAGTTGACAGGCTGTAGAAAATGGCTACAATAATGCAGAGGAGATCGGAATGAAATGAACTAAACATCTGGGAAAGGAGAGAGTAAAAACCAAAACTCCCAAATATAGCTCTCCCAACTTCACCTCAGAAACTATAATTGTTTCACTGAACCACCCGAATAAAACTCTCCCAACTTCTACTTTAGAAATTAGAATTGTTGTGAACTACAGCGGTTCAATGTTTCAAGGAATAGACTCAACTTACTTTATTCAGCTAGCTAACTATGACGCTATAGCTAACTAGCATGCTAGCATCCAATAACACACAGTTTAGCACCAATACTTGGTTACAACAAACTACCAATAGTGTGTTAACACACTAAACAGATAATTCGTGTCCGTGTCTAGTTCCTTTCATAACGCAGCAATAATTAAACGTTGGCTAGCTAGCACAAATATATTGTATTTAGCTGCTACAGTACAGTTAGCTGGTCGTGTTGGCTAGCTAGCAATGGCTGCTGTGTTGACTTTGTTTGAATAACGGCGGCGCTGCGAACAAATGTAGCTGGCTAAAAGGATATTGTATTTAGTTGCTACCGTTGCTAATAGCTACTCGCCAGCTAGTCCAGGAGGTGAGTTAGCTAGCTAGCTAGCTTCGTGCTACACCCGGCACCGCCGAATACAATGCTAACCTACAATAACTACCCACAACAGCCCACAATGCCTACCTATAATACCTAATAATATACAGCCCACGATGCCTACCTATAATACCTAACTACAATCTAAATACATAGTTTAAGCCTTACTCGACAAAGCCCAAGCTGTGTATAAAGCCAAACTTACCCGACGCCAGCTGTCTGGGTGGCAGACTGCAATCAGTAGCTGTAATTAAGTACAGCAGCTACCAACCACCTAACGTTAATGCCTCGGATAATGAGGTTAGAAAAACAGCTGAATGGTAGGTAGCTAGCTGGCCCAATTACAGGTACTCTTAAGCGTGAAATAACATTGGAAACAGCTATCCACAGTTGCTAAAAGTTACCAGTAGCTACCCGCTAGCTAGCTAGCTTTGTTGGTCCAGGTAGTGGGTTAGCTAGCCTCGTGCTTCGCCGAATACAATACTTACCTACAATAATTACCTACAATAACTACCTAAGTAAACTACCTACAATACCTAACTACAATACCTAGCTACAATCTAAATACATGGTTTAAGCTTTACTCAACACCATATAAGAAGCCAAGCTTACCTCCTGCTAGAGAAAACACAACCTCTCCCGACCAGGAACAGCAGCTATACAATATAGACAGTATAGACAATATAGACAATATAGACAGGTGTCTCTAAAAAATTAATAATAAAAAAGTGATGTCATTGTATCAACGTGGAAAACTGATTGGATTGGAAAAAAGTAATCAACATAAGGGAATTTAGTCTTTATTTCACCCAACTTTGAACCTAAATCCAAATGAAATGGTGCAATTTTTTTGGGTTTCATGTTGAATTCACGTTAGTTGACAACTTTACCAAATGTAAATCAAAACTAGACGTTGAACTGACGTCTGTGCCCAGTGAGTTATTTTCACTGATATTTCCACAGCATATTATTTGATCCAACATGAATCTCCTGGTGCCTTGATTTATGTAAAGCTTCTCTCCACGTGAAGGCTTGTGAAGGTTTCTCTCCACGTGAAGGCTTGTGAAAGTTTCTCTCCACGTGAAGGCTTGTGAAAGTTTCTCTCCACGTGAAGGCTTGTGAAAGTTTCTCTCCACGTGAAGGCTTCTCTTCAGCCTCTTGAGCCTATTGTTTGTTGTAGCTTTTCACTTATAAGGATGTGCATTGGATTTCTGGTAAACTACATCTGAGTTTGAATCAGAAATTGCATTATTTTATTATAATACCACGGATTGCTCTTTAAAGGTTCCACCAGAGTACACAGATCATATTAAATTAAGGGACATAAGTGGAGTTGGCTCCAATATCAGATTGTACAGTGACCATTTCCTGGTAAACCGTGTAAGCTTACAATAAACAGTTTCCTGTTCTGAGGAGATTTCACAGTATCGAAAGTGACCCATATGACCCATAATGTAGTCATTTTTGGGCTTTCCTTCCATAAAAAATATTTTCACTATGATGCTGTGAAAACAAGCAGAATCAGACACAAACCCCCTCCCTGTATTACTTAATACCTCTGCCTGGAGATGATCCTGGTCGTATTACCAACACTTCCTATTACGTCATGATGCCCAATGTACGGGGCTTTCTGTCTGTGGATGCAAAGAACAATATTCAATCATTGCAAAACAATAATGTGGGTTAAGTCATGCAAGGCACCCCCCAAAAAATCTGCATGGTCAGCTGTTCCCATATAGGTCTCAAAAACTGTTATATGAATTGCAATAAATCACAAAACACAATCTCTTTAAAAAGTATCCCACTTTATTCACACATAAATCAATATTGTTTTAGGTAATTGTCACCTGAAAATGATGTCAGAGCTGAATTGAGTTGCCTTGTGGTGTTATTTCCCTCCTGACCAACATAATACCATAGCCTGAGGAAGGAAAGCAAATTGTCTGTCTAATGCAAACATTGAGAAAGAAAGTGATCCTAAAGCTGATGTTACAGGATCATGGCTCAGCAGTTTAAGTTTGAGCAGTGAAACCCGCCTTCTCTACCATCCCTCCAATCAAGGTAGCACGGCACTGACAGATGCGCGCAGCATCTCCAGATGATGGTTAATATAGCAGTGTCAGAGAAGCAAGAACGTACTATACTAACTGTGTGTGGAAACATTCCACCGTCGGTTATTTCCAACAAAATATTGGCATTTAAAGAGAGAAGGAACAATTTCTTGCGATGAACAGTTTAGAGATCAACAACGTGTCAGTATGGGATGACAAGCGTATTTGGCACCGCGCTTGGAGCAGCCGGCGCACCATGTTTTTGGGCATGGAATCATGATTCTGTGCTTTTGCTTACATGAATAACAGATGTACCGATAGAAGAGATGTGTTGTTCATAGAATGGCCTCAATTTGTTTGCAGAAGAAGGTATGGCTGGTTCTCATCACCTTCAACAAGACGTTCCGCGATTCCTGCATAAACTTCTCTTCATGTTCTCCCTTGCTGTGGTTTGCGCGTCGCTGTACTTCATTCTCTCCGGCTGCTGTGATTCTATTCTAGTCGATACTGCGAAACATTTGAAGCAAACCTCTCAACTTTTACCTTTGACTGAGCTGTTCCAAATAAATAATGCCTCATTTGAGAAGAGGGCTACGGATGTCGGTGTGCGCTCAGCATCCCTCGTCGGCAGCGCAGGTACAATGGGTGCAGTTGGTGCGCAATCAGCCAATATTGGTAAGGACTGGACGGCAACAAGGAGACTACCCCAAGCAATCATCATAGGGGTGAAAAAGGGCGGAACACGAGCTCTTTTGGAATTCCTAAGACTACACCCTGATATTCGAGCACTTGGCTCTGAACCCCACTTTTTCGACAGACATTACTCACGTGGGTTGAATTGGTACAGGTATGTACCTACCGATGATGATGATAATGGTGATGATGATGATAATGGTGATGATTAGAATGATAATGATGAAAGTAACGCGCACGCACATACACACATTTGTGATTGGTTGATAAAAATGGTTGATATTTCATTGACAGGGGGATTTCATTGTTTGCGCTCAGGATGTCACGTTTCAATGAAGTTGCTGATGAAAAATAATCGATTCTGATTATGTTTACAACTTGCAAAAGGTGTAGAATAATGCACATTCCTCCTTGGAATTGCTGCTTGAGCATGGTAGTGTATGACAAGTAAAAAGGGGTTATTAAATGGCTGAGAGAATTTCTCTATGGGCTGTCTGTCCTACATGGTCCATCCATACACTCTGAAGAACAACTGACAGCAATACTGTAAAATCTGTATTTTTAGATTATAGTAACACAAATATTATGGAGCAATGTTATCTATGCCATTATTATTTTATCATTTTGACTGTCCTCCAAAAACAAATAAATGAACCAAACATTCCCCCAACTCCTGAACCTAATATCTGCTACATGATCAATCAATCAATCAAACTTGATTTATATAGCACATTTCTTACAACAAATGCATTTCAAGGTGCTTGGGCCAACAATGCCCCACCATATGGCCTTTGTTTTCTCCCTTGTTTGATGTCCCTTGTGGTGAGCGGTTATTTTTCCGTTTTTAAACAACTAATTGACCAACTTTGGTTCAATTATTTGAATTCCCATTTTTGTCCCGTTTTTTTCTGTGAGCTCAATGCGCACATTGCACAGTTTCTCTAGAGATAAATCAGATCCAGCCCGTAATGTGCGATGTAGTAGGGAGTTGTAGTTTCCAACAGGACAATATTCTATAGTTTAGTGCATAAATGGTGAGAATTAACTACAGTGACCATAATCCACTGCGCATCTACTTGTTCGGTCTGTGTTTATTTTACGCCTGCTATGGAAGAGACAGAAGAATGGGCGATCATGAGGTGATATAGAGAGCAGCTGTTGCTTCACGAGGGTTTATCTCTACCTGAAAATACACGTTCTAAGTGATTGATAGTTGGTTTTCAGCAGTCATAAAAGTATGCCTTATTTACTTTGAAGAACTACAAAGTTGTGATTTTGTCAGACAGCATAAGCAGCAGCTCTATAGAGATGAGATGATGACTTGGAATTAAATAATAAAGTTATTTAAAAAAAAGTTATATACACAACAACTGAAATATTTTATTAAAGTAATGTGAATAAATGATGGTTAATAAGTGATAAGCAGTAATGGGCAGTCACTACCATCATGGGACTTGTATTAATTGTTTTATTCTGTCTTGTTACAGAATTCAACCCACCTAATGCATAGTGCATTTAATGTTTAAAAAAATAATCGAAACCGAAATCCGTGATAATTTTTTTATATTGAACCGAACCGACCTCAAAAAGCACTAATCGCTCAGCACTGTTGATGTCTGAAGTATAATACTGTCTGTTCCCAAAATGGAAATATTAATCAAGCTGCTTGATCAAAGTATAGCACCACATTGTCTAATGAGAACCCCTGGAGTATGCATCGTTTCTGCTGAGAGGAAAATAATCAAGGCTCTTTATTGAAACACTACCCATGGAATTGAACTCGATCTTGATAATGGTTAGATAACAGCTCCAAGGGAGAGAAGCTGAGTGCAAATGCCAAGCGAGTTAATGCAACACAAAAGCTGCATATTCTGCCAGCGCCAAAATCTGTCTCTGGGGAAAATCAAAAGTGGACTCACTAATGGACTTTGCTTGTATTTGTGTGCTCCCTCCCTCCTCCTTTCTCCCAGTCTCTCTTTCTTCCTTCCATTCTTTCTCTCTTTTCCTTCATCTGGATTTCTATTCAGGCAGACAGCCAAGTGTGTCCTCTCTTTCTCCCTGGTAGCACATGCTATTACAAGGGGTGTGTACAAGAGTCAGTGCCCCTCAGCCCTCATTTAATTGAATGGGAGTGTATTGACATCCGGCAGGGAGGAAGAGCTGAGTGAGGCTGGTGAGCACACTGGAGAAAACTATATAACACCATGTAAATTATTAAGAACCTTCAGGCCTGTTGGCCTCATTGGCACAGTATGACATAGAGATCTCTGGGGAGTGAGCATGACCAGATAGTTCATGGTGTTAGGGGATGATTCAATCCCTTTATTTGGCTATAAGCCTCAATCAATAGTACCTTGGATTGGTTGATGGTTATTCAAATAATTAACCCTCTCTTCGATCTATACAAATGGATATGGTTAAATTCTCTTTTGGTTGTATTTTGTGTATTTGATATAAGATTGAACAGCCTCGCTCTCCCCCTCAGGAACCTGATGCCCAAAGCTCTGGAGGGCCAGGTGGTCCTGGAGAAGACACCCAGGTACTTTGTGACGGCGGACAGCCCCAGCCGGATCCACGCCATGTCCCAGGAGGTCAAACTGATCGTGGTGGTGCGTGACCCTGTGACCCGCGCCATCTCTGACTACACCCAGATCGTATCCAAGACTCCGGGCGTCCCCAGCTTCGAGACCCTGACGTTCCGTAACGGGACGGAGGAGGCGTTGAAGGTGGACTCCCTGTGGAGCCCCATCTGGATTGGCCTGTATGCTCTGCACCTGGAGAGGTGGCTGGCACACTTCCCCCTGGAGCAGATCCACTTTGTCCATGGGGAGAGGCTGGTGAGCGACCCTGCTGGGGAGCTGGGCAGAGTCCAAGACTTTCTGGGCCTTCAAAGGATCATCACAGACAAACACTTCTACTTCAACAAGACAAAGGGTTTCCCCTGCCTGAAGAAGCCAGAGGGCAGCAGCAAGCCCCACTGCCTGGGCAGAACCAAGGGCAGGCCACATGCTGACATCCACCCTCAGGTCATCCTCAGGTTACGGCAGTTCTACCAGCCACACAACCTGCGCTTCTACCAGATGACAGGGCAGAACTTTGGCTGGTAGGATGGGAGCCTACAATGAGGTGGAAAAAAGATGGTACCATCCTCACCATTCAAAACACAGGCTGCACAAGAGGATACAAGATAAAGCTTGAATTGATGTATTTTGTGACGGTCCTGATGTCATCTGGAGTAACTCAAGTCCTCATGCAACCTGTATTGGCAAACAAATCAAAACAGTCACACTTTATTTTGTGACAGTTAAACCACAAGAAGTAGAGAGAGTAATGACATAGGCCTACTGTGTAACACCATGGACATACAGAGGAAAGTGACAGTGACATCCACGGTTGGAAAGCAGGTCCTCAGAACTCTAGTGTGAACTTACCCTTTACTCCACTAGATGGCAGTCTTTCTCCAACAGAGGCTTAGACGATATTGAGGAAATACTGTAAACTACTAGGACAAATTTGGATTTGTGGTCATGATCATCATACAACATTTTTTTCTGTAGTCAGATTGAGCAAGTATTACCATAAGAAATGACATGGCATCCCTTAATTTAAATCCAAGACAATTCAAGGCAGCTGCATGGACAGATACTTGAAATATTTAGTAGAGCCCTGCATTGCTCCGTTCATTCTGTAGTCGTTTGCAGTTGGTTTACATTTAAATATTCCCTAGTTATATCAGGCATTTAAACCCATTTCCTCAATATTACCAAGAATCATAGACAGATTCACAGTCTGTATTGTCCTTCATTTCTGACACAGTTTGTGTTCCATACATTTCCTGTGCATGTTTATGGGTACTGCCTTTTTCTTCATTACATTCTGAAGCAAATATCAAGATCCAACTTTCTTTCAAACACATACTTACATACAGCACATACAAACATAAGCACCAAATTGTTGGAAATAGCCGTCTGTACACCAAGCATCCATATGGCAACTAGACTTGGCTGATCTTCGCAGCCCTACTGTGGCAACAAAACCATGAACGCAGCTTGTAAAAATAGCTTTACCATCTGCTCCTGAATAACAGTCATGATAAGAATAGTCATGGCCTTGGCTCTAGACATATACAGGAGGAAGTTGAGGAGAAGTGTTGTTTATTCACTCAGCGCCATGTTCCTTTAAGCATCATTATAGTAATGTTCTTCTCAATGGGATCCATTATGCCCTATACAGTCCAGTGAGTTTGGGATGCTGTATATGAGTGCCAATTTATGGTCCTTTTAATGAAGTGGTCACCAAGCCTGGTCCTGTAAAGCCGTATAGATCTCAGGGGGCCCTGTTCTGATACTGTGAAAATGCATCCTTTCATCCTCCCCTTTACGTTTTGGATGGGAACTTATCCAATCATGTTAGAGCAGTCATAACCTCAATGAAGGAAGGAAGGAAGGTACATTCGAACAGTATTGGAATGGGGCCCTGCAGGCCCAGGGTTGGTGACCACTGTCTTAGCAGTAGGCCTCTCCATGTGGTTCTGTCATGCTGTCCAGGCCCACTACATAGGCTGCTCCAGTGGAGGGTTTGTGCCCATTGACGGGGAGGTCCAGAGGCCCAGCATTTCCTCCTCCCCCTGCAGGCACAGCTGTCAGGTACATGTCCCACATCTGCTCTGGCAGGTCCATCTCCAGCAGCTTCTGCTTGATCCTCAGGTTCTTCTCAATGTTCCGCCGCTTGTACTTGAACTCTACGATGGTCTTGGTGTACCTGTTCAGTGCTGTCACCGCAGAAGCCATGCAGGCGGCGAAGGAGCTCCATGCTAAACTGGGGAGGGGGAAGAAGAAGTACAGAGGGTGTGATGAACCTCAGCATGCATGCTATCTCCATCATGACTGCTACTGTACATGGCCTCAGAATGCTAGCGTCATTTAAAATGGCACGAGTATCACATAGCTGGATATTAGACTTTAATCAGAGACAACTCCTATTGTACAGCACCTAGTGTAATGGTAAGTGACCTAGTCAGTACATACATGTAGGACCAGCTGTAGTCCCAGGTCTTGGGCCTCCAGTCCTCCGGGCCCATAGCCACAGCTATCTGAAAGGCCGTGGTGAACATCATGTGGGCAACCATCCCCAAAAGGCCTGGATACCAAGGGACACGACACATAATACAAAACGCAAATAAAGGTGGTGAATGAAAACCTGAGATAATATATGAGACTATATATTTTTTTAGTATAATGGTTGTACCCTTCAAAAGCACTGGTGGAAGTGCAGCAAAAATTTTTAAACCTGCAATTGATATTAGTAGCCACAGCATGGCAGTATTGTACAAGTTCTGAATTAAGGGCTATCAGTTTGGATATCTTTCACTTGTTTTAAAAACCCTGCATGAAGACAAGTGTTTGTGCGAACAACATTGAATGACAGTCTATGGATTTTCACCACGATCATGCTTCTTTATTTACTGGATATTCAGTTTATAGTATTACTGGGGAAGCTGATAGTTTACATTAATACTGAATATTGATGCGCAATAATTGCAGAGTTGCAGCCATTCCACTTCATAACAATGATTGATAGAACAGAGAATGATGAAGAATCAAAGCCCACCACAGCACAGTGTTCTCTCTACTCTCGCTTTCTCTGCTGCCTCTTGGCCATCTCTCAGCTGACATTCTGCCCGTCTACAGATGCTTTACTTGGGATTAACGTCCTAACAACCAGAGGAGGGGGTCAGGGGAAGGTGGGAGGGGAGGGGTGGGGGTACTCCTCTGGGTAGGCCTTGTCATGGCCCAAAACCGCTGCCCCAGCTCCAATCCGATTAGTCCAGAAACCAGCAAATCCGCAGAGGCATTGGACACACAGACCATAGACCACTGCTCTACGCGCTACGCTAGCACTGTGCTAGGCTAGCTTCCCTACAACTGTACCTCCCTGAGCAAGGCTCCCATCCCACCATGCTACTATTATTGCTCTGCTTTTCTGCTAACAAATTCATATTCATATTCACATTCATATTTGTACCGCAGACCCAAGGAGAGTTCAGCTGTAGGGATTCCACAAATTCTGTGGTGCATAAACCACATTTTAAACGTGTATATTCACTCCTACTTACCCCCACAATACAGTTTGACAGATGATAGCAACACAATAACTATGATTGACAATACAGTGCGTGAATCTAAATGAACATGACTCCTGATTGACATACATTTTCTCAACATCATCTTGATTCCCCTCCTATCAGCTTCCGAAATGGTCTTTGAAAGATGAAAACTTAGAACAGATTCAGCAGTGTACTGAATATCGTGTCTGTAAAGATGAAATAATCCATTTAGGATATGGACTAGCCACTGTCACACTGGCCGGCCTCTGCCTGCCTGCCTGGGATGGTTAGTGGGTTGCATGCATGGTATTAGATGATGTAATCCCCCTGGTGGGTAGTGTTACACACAGACACGCTGGCCTCTGCTCTACTGTGGAGCTGGGACTCCCAAAGCCTGTCTACTGTAGGCTCTCTATCCAATTTGACCAGCCCAGTGCCAGCCTTAGTGTGATAGCGTGGCAGGGAGGTTGACATCTCCTCTGGTAATTGAGAAACAGAGCCAGGGGATGTCCACTCACTAGTGTGCCCCCTCTGTGAAGCTTACTTCATAGTTAAGGATGCAGGGAGATAATCAACTCCTTAATGGCTGGTGATCAGCTTTGAGTGACTGTATGAAAGTATTCTTTGATGACTTGTTCATTTGACAAATGGTGAATGATCACAATGGTAGAATGCACATTTTTTAAAATAAATATGACTGTGTACATCATTCCCAGGCACAGATGCGTTACCTGACAGGGCGGTGAACATGGCAGCAAAGGCATTGAGCTTCAGCTTGTTCATGACACTGAGGCAAGGACACAGCTCTAACCACATGAGTACACCACCCGTGAACAGCAGGATGAGGTAGAGACACTCAGCTGTGATACACAGCCACAGGACCCCTGGGAATAGAAGGAAGAGAGGAGTCAGTCAGAGTGAGCGCTACCGTCGCTTCTTTAATACACCTCCCTCTACTAAATAATCCCACCCATACGAAGGAAGACATCAACTCCACAGACCACGACAGGAAGAGACCCCTGACCTCTCTACGCTTCCCCCTCGCCAGCAGAACTACCTGATCCTATAGGCCTGCTCTGGTGGGACTTGGATAGAGACGACAGGTGCCACTGATAATTAGATGAAAGCTACTTTTAATGTATAACTACTACAACAGCTTTACTCTTGTTTTTAGACTGTTGTTTTGTATTTCCTATGGAAGCCCCGATTGCAGTCACAGTAGATTATGTTCCAGTAAAAAGCATGAGTTGACGTGCATTCCAAAGATAGTTGGAGAGGTGTTAAAGGAATAGTATATATATGCTACCAATAATGTAATGGGTAATGGGGTAGTGTAGTGTTTACCCATTAAATTAGTGGGAGCATATATAGAGTGTATGACTATCTTTTTTCACAGTAGATTATGAAAATAGTTGATGGTTCATATAGATTCTGTTAGGAGAGTGAACATCCTATAAACTCACTGTCTTGATATAGTGGCCTCTTGACATGAACGCACACAATTGTTATTTTTGATGACTGGACTTATATAAAGTTGTGGTCAAGAGGAAAATATAGATTTACAAGGGCTTTACACTACTAGACTGGAAGATAAACATTTTATAAATGGGTTTTACCTACCTTTTTCATGGTCAGGTGCAATGTCTTTAAAGTCTCTGCAGTTAAAACCTGGAAGCAGATAAACAGTAATTTAGTTCATGTAGCCTAGTCTTTTTCTATTTCCTATCTTCTTATGTAAATTGTAGTTGTAGAAATAGCTAATGCAATCAATATATTTCTTTACCCTTCTTCATTATTTTATATAAATGAAATATAAATGTGTTAGTATGCACAGAACCATCAGCTAAATGGTTATGATCAGGACTTTCACCTTCACGTTATTTGACCGATTACTCCACAAGATAAATCGCTTACCACTTTTAAAATGTCTCAGACCCTATCCATTATTTGATAGGGGTATAAGTTACATATGTTGTTCATTTTCTGAAAATTAATCAGCACTTCTCATATCTCCAGTCCTTTTATATCCCAATAAGCTGTTAGTTCGTTCACACCTCAGGATTGGCTACTGCTGACTCTCACAGCTGTTTGTTCTGTCACACCTCAGGACTGGCTACTGCTGACTCTCACAGCTGTTTGTTCTGTCACACCTCAGGACTGGCTACTGCTGACTCTCACAGCTGTTTGTTCTGTCACACCTCAGGACTGGCTACTGCTGACTCTCACAGCTGTTAGTTCTGTCACACCTCAGGACTGGCTACTGCTGACTCTCACAGCTGTTAGTTCTGTCACACCTCAGGACTGGCTACTGCTGACTCTCACAGCTGTTAGTTCTGTCACACCTCAGGACTGGCTACTGCTGACTCTCCCAGCTGTTTGTTCTGTCACACCTCAGGACTGGCTACTGCTGACTCTCACAGCTGTTTGTTCTGTCACACCTCAGGACTGGCTACTGTTGACTCTCACAGCAATCATAGCAACAAATGTTGGGTCACAGAGTTTCTGCAAGCATTACAATTAAATAATAAAATAAATAATACAATAATAAAACTCCTACTAAAACTGATACATCGTTATAACGTCAGTCTATTTCAGTAAAGTCAACACAAATAGTACATTACTTTTTGCTTATTTTATCAAATCTCGAAGACTAAAAAGACAAAAAAACATGATGATGTAATTATGTAAGTAAATAGTGGACTGTCAAATCATTTGCATCTTGTTTTAGTCTCTCCCAATGTGCTTCCTCCTTCACTTCCTGTTGTAATGTACCCAAACCACATTAGGTTTAGAGAGCATGGTCACACAGGACTAGCTGCTGAGCGGCCAACATAGTCGCATGTTCTATTTCAAAGTTTCTGCAAGTTGTATATTAACATTATTTTTACTGTTAAACATTGCACATAACATTTCTTACCATTCATGTCAGCAGCCTGCTCACAGGAGAAGAAGATGCCGGTGTGGAACTTCCTCATCAGGAACTTCTCTTCTCCCGATTCCCAGATGTACTGCACCAGCCGGCTGTCATTGATGTTACTGCTGTTGAAGCGAATGCAGTATGACTGCTTGGTCGTCACCGGCCCCGTGCAGAAGGGCTTGACCACCTTCCTGGTCCCCTCGCACCAGAAACTGGTGGTCACTGCTGACAGGGCACATGTAAATGCCACAAGGTTGAGGGTGAGCGCCAGGGACCCCCGCCGACTGCACTCTGTCCCCATGCTGGAGGCTGGGCAAAATGAAATGAAATGAAAAGGCAACTAATCCAGGCTTTCGATATGTCGCCGCCGTGTTTTCACCTCTCTAATATATCTCAAATCTTCATAATCTTGTGGCATTTACAGTTCATTGGGTGATGCTGTATGTACATCCTTCCTTTGGACTCTAAGGATGTGCTGCCTGCTACCTTTATTGAAGGATTCGTTCTCTTCCTTGCTTGCACTCCCTTATACTCCAATCCTCCAATCACTCTTTTTGTCTCTCCCTTGTTTATTTGAAACTCTCTCTCTTCTCTTCTGCTTGCTGTGGTCTCTTTTTCGCTCCCATCTTTCTCCACCCACTCACCAAATGCATAATTTATTACACAGGACAAATTATATGCTTGGCCTCTGTTTTATTGTCATATCTAAACCTAGCCTGTTTCTTTGAGCATAGTAATAAAAAAGATTACTTTGGGCTTATTCTTTAATCTGGAACAAGGCTCTCGCCAATGCCAATGTTGGACTGGACATGTTCTGGCATAGTTGGGCATTACTGATGCATGTTTTCACAAACTACACTGAGTGTACAAAACATTAAGGACACCTGCTCTTTCCATGACATAGACTGACCAGGTGAATCCAGGTGAAAGCAATGATTCCTAATTGATGTCACCAGTTAAATCCACTTCGAACAGTGTAGATGAAGGGGAGGAGATAGATTAAAGAATAATTTTAAAGCCCTGAGACAATTGAGACATGGATTGGGTATGTGTGCCATTCAGAGGTTGACTGGGCAAGACAAAATATTTAACTGCCTTTGAACAGGGTATGGTAGTATGTGTCAGGCACACCGGTTTGAATGTGTCAAGAACTGCAACGCTGTTGGGTTTTTCACTCTCAACAGTTTCCCGTGTGTATCAAGAATGGTCCACCACCCAAAGAGCATCCAGCCAACTTGACACAACTGTGGGTGTCATTGGAGTCAACATGGGCCAGCATCCCTGTGGAACGCTTTCGACACCTTGTAGATTCCATGCCCTGACAAATTGAGGCTGTTCTGAGGGCAAAAGGGGGTCCAACTCAATATTCGTTTTGTACACTCAGGGTATATTTCATCATACTGTACTTGCCATCATAAAGGTCAGATCAACTCAAAATGTGACAGTGACTTTAGATTGTGAAACACACATTATTGCATGAGGCTGCAGATCAAGCATCAACATGTGCGCATGCAAAGTAAATCTGTTCCTATTTGATAGCCTGGTGATTGGCTTATGCAGGATGTTACATGCAAATGTAGGCAAACTGCTTTGGGAAATAGGCTTAAGAGATGACAGATGTTGGGAGAATGGATCCTGCCTTTTCTTCAACTGATTTGTCCTTAACTACTCTCCACTAGGCCAAGGAATACCAAGAGGGCAGCAAGTGCCACTTCCTTCACTGATCAGCAGTTGTGGTCTACCTATTGTTCAGTGCATGGATGTGACTTGAGTGACACAGAATGGACACAGGGTCACAGGTATCTAAAAATCTCCACTGTGTTGATGAGGTGCAGTAATTCTTGACATGGAGCTAACATCCAACATCACTGAACGATTGTTTCTATTCAGAGAATTTGATACTGACATTTGTACTCAGCTTTGTGAGAGACCAAATGTTTCTGCACAGACCATAAAAACAAAGGACCCAGCAGGATTGTTAGAACAGGGAATGAGGAATGAATTCCTCATGGCAGAGGTTGTACAGTACACTGTGGAACTACCATGATAATGCTTAGTAATGATATTATATCTTATGTAAATGTACTCTCTTGTGACTTAATGGGGCAGTGTCACTTAATAGATCCAACAGAAAATAGGTCACAGTGTTTGACAGAGATGCCTCTGGACATTCAAATGGTGGGGTTGACAGGGGAATGAAACTGACATAATATTGGACACCTCCTATTGGAAAGTAAGGCAAACCCAGAGAGCTGAGAGTATACGATTGCAGCACAACAATGTTTTGTCATAAATTCTGTAATCATAATCCACATGTTGCTATATTGCCTTCCAGGTGCTATTCGCCTCAAAAAGGCACAAATACCAAAACGTTACTTTCAAATGAGTGAGCAATTTTCCTTTGTATTCTTGTGGTCATCTTTCAATTCTGTAGTATGTTGAGGGTTGGGTAATATTTTCCCTTGGAAATATAGTCTACCCTTGATTATGGGGCCATTTTAGTTGATTTAAAGTATGTGCAATGATATGCTTATGACCCAATTACTTTGAGTCCATACTGTTATTTGAGTTGATTTTGATATATCATTTTGGAATGTACACTTGCCAAATGCCCAAAGTCTACATCTTCACCAGCTTCACAGTAGTGCTGAAAAACATTCACCAATAACTATTTACTTCCAACTCCTCCTATTCTTATATAACAACCAATCCAAAAATTAACATGATTTCCCCTCTCAATTATACCTGTATTGTCATGTTTGAATAAAAAATAACCAGCAGTAAATGAAACATGCAACCTTAAAACCCAAAGCTTACAAAGGTATTTCAGCAAAAATCAGGATTATCCTCAATCTGAGTCATTTTATGTTTGCCAGGCAAACTGAGCACAATTGATGGATGAGTACACTGACCTTGTTCAACCCCATGTAGGTACACACTGCTCTGAACATGTCAGCACGCTCAGCTGTTGTCCAGGCTCCTGGATGTCATGAGAAACATGCATACACTGGGCTGTACAGAAGCAAGCAAACATAAAATAAGAATACATTTGGACCTGATGTACTTGTGAGAGTTTAGATGCCAATCTAAGGAATGTCCCTTTTTGCATCATGATGGTAGGCTGTTATGTCCTGAGGCTCTATAGGCAACATTACTCAATGTGGTTCTTAAGGCTTCATTGACATTGATTATATTGATTTAATACGGTACAATACATTTAAACTCATTTTTTCACAATTCCTGACATTTAATCCTAGTAGAAATTCCCTGTCTTAGGTCAGTTAGGATCACCACTTAATTTTAAGAATGTGAAATGTCAGAATAATAGTAGAGAGAATTATTTATTTCAGCTTTTATTTCTTTCATCACATTCCCAGTGGGTCAGAAGTTTACATACACTCAATTAGTATTTGGTAGCATTGCCTTTAAATTGTTTAACTTGGGTCAAACGTTTCGGGTAGCCTTCCACAACCACAACTTTTGCCACAACTTTGGAAGTATGCTTGGGGTCATTGTCCATTTTGGAGACCCATTTGCGACCAAGCTTTAACTTCCTGACTGATGTCTTGAGATGTTGCTTCAATATATCCACATAATTTTCCTTCCTCATGATGCCATCTATTTTGTGAAGTGCACCAGTCCCTCCTGCAGCAATGCACCCCCACAGCATGATGCTGCCACCCCCGTGCTTCACGGTTGGGATGGTATTCTTTGGCTTGCAAGCACCCCCCTTTTCTTCCAAACATAACGATGGTCATTATGGCCAAACAGTCCTAATTTTTGTTTAATCAGACCAGAGGACATTTCTCCAAAAAGTACGATCTTTGTCCCCATGTGCAGTTGCAAACCGTAGTCTGGCTTTTTTATGGCGGTTTTTGAGCAGTGGCTTCTTCCTTGCTGAGCGGCCTTTCAGGTTGTGTCGATATAGGACACGTTTTACTGTGGATATAGATACTTTTGTACCTGTTTCCTCCAGCATCTTCACAAGGTCCTTTGCTGTTGTTCAGGGATTGATTTGCACTTTTCGCACCAAAGTACGTTCATCTCTAGGAGACAGAACACGTCTCCTTCCTGAGCGGTATGACAGCTGCGTGGTCCCATGGTGTTTATACTTGCGTACTATTGTTTGTACAGATGAACGTGGTGTTTGGAAATTGCTCCCAAGGATGAACCAGACTTGTGGAGGTAAAAAATAAAACTCTGAGGTCTTGGCTGATTTCTTTTCATTTTCCCATGATGTCAAGCAAGAGTTTGAAGTTAGGCCTTGAAATACATTCACAGGTACACCTCCAATTGACTCAAATTATGTCAATTAGCATATCAGAAGCTTCTAAAGCCATGACATCATTTTCTGGAATTTTCCAAGCTGTTTAAAGGCAGAGTCAACTTAGTGTATGTCAACTTCTGACCCACTGGAATTGTGATACAGTGAATTATAAGTGAAATAATCTGTCTGTAAACAATTGTTGGAAAAATTACGTGTCATGCACAAAGTAGATGTCCTAACCGACTTGCCAAAACTATAGTTTGTTAACAAGAAATGTGTGGAGTGGTTGAAAAACGAGTTTTAATGACGCCAACCTAAGTGTATGTAAACTTCCAACTTCAACTGTATATATAATGCAGCAATCACAAAAGCAGGATGCACAAAGGCCTTTGTCAGGGCAGGGGTGTTAAACTCATTCCATGGAGGGCCGAGTCTGCTGGTTTTGTTATTTCCTTTCCAAATGTCCTATTTGTGTCCATTTAAGACCTAGTGAGGTGAAGGGAGTTCCTAACTAATCAGTGAACTTCATTGATCAATCAAGTAGGAGTGAAAACCCGCAGACACTTGGCCCTCCATGGAATGAGTAATAATGCCCAGAGTCTAATGAGAGTTCTGGGCACAGACCCCTGCATAGCGTGGACAGAACAGGTGCTGGTCGAACATAAAGCTTGATGGAAAATATCAGTGATCCTCTGTTGTATCCAGAAGGAAATGAGCGTCAACCTGTTATATAATGCCTTACCTGCAGGACCTGTTTGTGGAGTTTATTTTTGATTTGGGTAAGCATGTAATATGCAAGTAACCATTTGGACCAATTTGGATGTCCACTTCTTTCTTTTCCTGTAAATTCTCAGGAAATGATTATAACTGGAACTCAACATATTATATCCTGACCATCATAAAGAGCTAAACACTAGTAATGACTAAAACATCAATCTAATTTCCCACCAACATATATATTTTTTTACAGTAGCATTTCTTAATGCTGCGTATATATTTGAGATACTGGTGATTGGGTTAACTTGACATATGAT